CCTTTATACTCAAGTCCATAACCCAGGACACCTGGGTGCACATACGCAATTACATTAGATGATAACCAAGGAACACTTGGGCGAATGTGGATATTTACATCAAATGCTTGGCAAGATTCTGGACATCTGAAGGGCGCTGACCATTTCCCTATATTTTCTCTACAATTACACCAACCAGGGCTTTTTTATTCTTATTTTTAAGTTATATAATATACATATCTCTTTAGGAACCACTAATTCTCTGACAAGTTTGGTCACATCCAAACTGCCCAGCTGAAAATTCACTTAGTATTTAAGAGTGAAAATTATATTTTCGATGTATACTTTGGAAAATTTCTCCTCCACTCCCCAAAAGGACTCCCAGTCAGTAAATGCAACTTTTAAATGAACAAGGTATTTTGAATCAATTAATTTTAGTTAATTTTCAAATAATTTTTCTACGATGTTTTTTATTAAATGAACAAGGTATTTTGAATCAATTAATTTTAGTTAATTTTCAAATAATTTTTCTACGGTGTTTTTTTTTATTTTCAGGTAATAAAACCAAGAGAATCTACAGCATTTTTTTTAGATAACTTACATACAATTAAATGCCCAGATCTTAATTGTACTCCTGGATGAGCTTGATAATCACATTCACACATGTAACCACCACCTCAATCAAGATATAGGACACTCCCATCACCCCGGAAAGTTCCAAGGGAACACTGCTTCTCAATCATTCCCCACCTCCACCTTCCACACAGAGGCAACCACTTCTACTCTGGACTTATTATGTGCCCGGAAAATGGTACCAAAAATGAGGGTACAATTTAAAGCTGGTAAAACAGCATTAAGAACTATAAAGCTCTATATTGCCTGCAGGGGTTCTTCATATGCTTTAATTCTATATCAATATCTTGTCTGATGTGTGATAGTGAAGAATAAAAAAAGACCTTGAGCTTGGTTCAGTGATCAATGAGAGTTTGGGGCTGTCCAGTTAGGTCAGTCAGTTAAAGCATGGTGTTCTAACACCAAGGTCAAGGGTTTGGATTCCTGTACCGGCCAGCTGCCGAAAAAGAAGTGTTTATACAATTTGCAAAAACATTGGCTATGCAGTCGTCCATCAGTATGCTCAGAGGATTGGTTCTGGACCTCCCATGGATACCCAAATCCAAGAATGTTCAGGTCCTCGATATAAAATTGTGTAGTATCTGCCTATAACCTATGCACACCCTTCCATATAGTTTTTAAATCCTTATTTCTCTTTGTTTAATTGAAACGTATTGGTTCTACATACTTATGACGTTATATTTCAATACATGTATACAATGTGTGATGAACAAGTCAGGGTAATTAGCGTATTCGTCATTGCAAAACTCATTTCTTTGTGATGTGAACATTTGATCTCTATTCTCGTCGTCTGATAACATCATATGCTTTGAGTCATCTCTAGATTACTTGTAATACCTAATACAATGTGCATGCTATGTTAATAGGTGTTGTATTGTTTAGGAAATAATTACAAGAAAAAAGTCTGTACATGTTCAGTACAGAATTTTTTTTCCAAATATTTTCCATCTAAGTTTGGTTTAACCCACGGATGGTGTGGAACTCAGGGATATGGACGGCCGAATGTACTTATGTGGATTCTTGCTGTATTTCCTTTAAGTATGTTTCCTTCAGATGGGAAACCACTAACTTCCAGTACACCTGACCATTTCTGATACTAAAGAGAGCTAGAATGTAGAGTGATTTGCAGTTGAAAGTAGAAAGTTTACTTTTTCTAAAAAAAAAAAAAACCCTTTTGATGATGTTAGGTTATTATGTGGGGTTGAAGTAGTGCATTAGATAAGCTAACTACTGTTTTTGTCCTAATCCAATGTATTTCATTTAAAAACCATGTACAGAGAAGAGGCTCTGAAACCTCTTCCCTCCTAGAATCCAATTCATCAATTTTCAGTAGTTCACATTTCCCAATTTTAGGAGACAGGCAATAACTTACATAGTCCTTCCAAGAAAACTACAGGAAAGGCACTTTACGGTTTTCGTACACTGCAAATATAAGATATCAGTAATATTAGTAGTGTTGCTCATAAACCCAGGTAACAGAATTCTGAAGTATAATACTGGGGACAAATGGATGGGACCAAACACATTGCAATTCCTGGTTTTCCTTAACCAGCATGTCCATACCCCCGAGCGTCCCTTCTTCTCGGAGCACAGTGGCGGTGTGCCCGCGCCCGCGGTCACAGCTCGGTGTTGGGGAGCGCGGCGGCATGCTGGGGGGCCAGCTCCCTGATCAGACGCACGAAGTCGGTTTTCTCCGCGCACGCCCTGCACTCTTCGCCCCAGCTCTGCAGGATCTGCTTCAGCTCCGCGACCCTCATCTTCGACAGGTCGACAGAGGCCAAGTCCAGTTTCTTTTCTAAATACCAGAACGGAAAAGCACGATTAAACCCCCCCCCCCCCCAAAAAAAAAAAAAAAAAAAAAAAAAAAAAAAAAAAAAAAAAAAAAAAAAAAAAAAAAAAAAAAAAAAAAAAAAAAAAAAAAAAAA